TGGACATATTCCGGTCTTTACCAAGATTAATAATGTATAGTTTACTAAAGTTCATTGTGGTCATGGGCACCTATAATGATGACTAAAGCTTTTCCAGTAAAGTTGTCCAATACTGCTAACAGAAGTGTCCATCAGTGGACATATTCCGGTCTTTACCAAGATTAATAATGTATAGTTTACTAAAGTTCATTGTGGTCATGGGCACCTATAATGATGACTGAAGCTTTTCCAGTAAAGTTGTCCAATACTGCTAACAGAAGTGTCCATCAGTGGACATATTCCGGTCTTTACCAAGATTAATAATGTATAATTTACTAAAGTTCATTGTGGTCATGGGCACCTATAATGATGACTAAAGCTTTTCCAGTAAAGTTGTCCAATACTGCTAACAGAAGTGTCCATCAGTGGACATATTCCGGTCTTTATACCGGTCATGGGCACCTACTGAACTATTTTGGGGGGTTGGGGGGCAAAACATGTATGTAGGGGATCAGATGTTAGAGTGTAAGTCAACAGACTAAAAGAATGTGTTATATGTGCTTAAATGCAGTTTTAATAAATATTACTAAAAATATTTCGTTTAACTACGATGTTAAGTTTACATCATAATACGTGTACTTTTTTGTAAAGTGTAAGGGGGAGGCAAATGCCCTTTCTTGCCCCTTCCTGTAGATGCCAATGATTATGGTACAAAAAGTTTATGGTATCTTACAATTTACTGTTGTTTCGTTTAACAATAATATAAAAAAAAAATGCAGTACATTTTAGAACAAGAAAACGTACAACAAATAGGAGAAACATTAATATCACATGCAATTTAAATGAAGACTATGAGAGTAAATGGTCATTTTTCTTTTGTGTTTTCTGAAACAACTATTCTCAAGTTGGCACTATAAACTAAGAAACAAAAAGTAAATCATACAGAATCATAAATGTCAATAAATTATAAAGTTTAGTAAATTATAGGGTATTATAAACACAGGTAATTTAAAAGATAACTGTGTGTTATTTAGGGTTGGTTAATGCTATTTGATGTGGAGGGTTTCTTTAGTTAATAATTCTAAACTTAATTACAACAGGTAATTCCTAATTTTGTCCAGTGTCTCCTACGAGCCCTGAAGAAGCCATAATGGGGAAACATTGGACACAATTAATTCCCATTTATCTCGTACGAACCCTGAAGAAGCCATAATGGGGAAACATTGGACAAAATTAATTCCCATTTATCTCGTACGAACCCTGAAGAAGCCATAATGGGGAAACATTGGACAAAATTAATTCCCATTTATCTGGTGAATTTTTATAATTTTTTTTATGATAAAGTGCTATAATTTTCCTGCAATCTTCTACATGATTATTGAGTGCTATCTTAGATTATGTGTCTAAAATATTCACTTGTTCCACGTTTTTGTAGGAATATAATTAAATTCTCTAGTAAACTAGTTTACTGTTACATGACCTATACTAATTTTCACAGATTGTTTAATGAATTTTTGTTGGGTTTTATTTATTAATAAACAAATATGAATAAACAGTTTGTAATTTTTTAGCAAGACATTGGAGGAAAGAATATTCTTAACAAGAACTGGGCATCCTTTGTAAAAGCACGTTTGAACTGCTCACTTCCTGGAGAGTTCCCGTTTTATTTTAACGAAATTCGTAAGCCTTTTTTATTGTGGACTAGATATTGGAATAATATTGTGATAACCGTAAATATTTAATTTTCTATGGTATAGATAAAACTTCCTTCAGTCTGTCTTCTTTTATTACTAAATATGATTTCTTACAAGTTATAAAAGTTCATGCAACTAATAACCAATATTACGAAAAAAACAATTATGCAAAAAAAAAATTAGAAGAAATTTATTAAACGAAAAATTAAGTGAAATTAAATTAAAAATAAGGAAGGATCAGTAAATATTTTAAAAGGTAAAATTACCACTTCTCATTGGATTGATTATTACAAAACAATCATTACTAGCAACAAGAAACCATAAGTGTCTTTTAGAAGTTTAGTTAACATAATGCTCCTGCTTATTTCTAAGACGAAAACATTCAGATGCCAAGCAAATTAGAAATATACATTTCATACTGAAGAAACAACTTAATAAAGGAAAACTCATCACAGTTAATGAAAGTTTAATGACAAGTATCAATGCCAAAAAATTTATTTTTAAGTACTTGCTTAGCGGAAATCAAACAAATCTCAAGTTTATTACATATAAACAACCTAAAACTAACTTCTTTATTTTCTTTCATTATATTCCTCAATGGGTCAGTATCAACAATTTTCACTAAACATCTGAACTTAAAGGCAGAGTTTAGCCAGGTGGATTATTAAGATTTTGGCAATTAACTTCTGTGTAAAGAAATAAATCTTTCATCAAAGTGACCATATCATCATTTTATATGAAAAAAAAACATTAGACGTGAGTATTAATTGAAAAAAAACAACACATTTTTGTTTATTTATTGGTTTCTAAAATGGAAATTTAAATCATTGTGACATCAGATAACTTTTTTTTCAGGTTATTAAGCTAAAATAATCACCATTTAAAATTAAAAAAAAACTAAAAAATATATGTATGAATGTTTTCAAAATGCTGTGTACTTTAGACTTTGGTGTGAGAGGTTTCAAGTTTGAAAATAATACTGAAAAAGTAAAATTCTAGATGGAAAGTGAAAAACTAATATTCTCAGAAGTTCATATCTCAACAACAGCCCTTTTCTAAACATCAAGGTCAATGGCATCATTTTCCATCAATAACCTAGAGAAAAATATCTTTTTTTATCTTTTTATTAAATATAAAGAAAATGGCAACAAATTAAGTTAGAGTCTGATTAAAAGTACCTTGGAAAAGACAATGCTTATCAATACTGAATTTCTAGCAAATAACACTTACGAAGAGGTTGTGAACACTGCATAGAACATGCTATGGTCATCAAGGACTTTATAGACACTCTCTGTAGAAGAAATAAAACTACACTTTATCCAAACTGCAATCTTATGATTTGTATTAGAGACATGGCCATTTAACCCATTGACTGTAGCTGCTCTGAAAGCACGGAGAATTTTTGCTAGCCATACACCGTATATGGCACACTCAGTGAATTAGCAGTCAATGAGTTAAATTAAGGAAAAAAATGTTTACATAAAAAATTTCCTGAACATTTTCCCATCAATAATTTTAGTTAATTTATTTACAAAAAGTCTAATTATTTCAATAATGTTTCATCACTAAATTTTGGTTATTTATTACTGTTTTATACATACATATATGTAAGTGTCTATAAATACTTTACTTGCTAACTAATGTGAACAAATGTGCTTGGGATGAAAATTTCCATGGAGTGAGACACTGACACACCAGAATTAATTTTTTTCAATGGTAATTATAGCATCCACCTTTTAAAATTTCTTGAATAACTGATTTCACAATTAGTCCTTTGTAAGTGACTCAGCTGACCTTTAATCTTGTATATCAACAGAACAGCAAAAAGGGTTAAATTAAATGTTTTAGTTTCATGAAATAAGAAGGTGATGGTATAGAAAGAAGAAAAATAATTCAACATTATAATATCAGATTAACATTAGAAAAAATACCTACATTGAACAAAAGCAGAAATAACATTTTATGCTATGCATTTAGAAGACAAAGTAAAAAATCAAAACCTAAACCTCCCCCAGATTTTTATCATTTATCTACCAAAGAAAATCTTAGAAGTCTCTGTACACATCTTTTGAAAGATGGTAAATGGAATAGCACAGTCTAGTAGAAATACAAATAAAACAAGTAGTAACAGTTTCGTCTGACTGAGTTAATGTAACGGTGATTCAAGAGCTAATAAAATCAGCACCAAAACTGTGCTTTCCACTAAATAATTCAAAATTACTCATAAACAATATATTTTTTTTAAATTATAATAATTAATCAAAAACATTATATTGTTATTTTTTCATTCTAGACCTACTCGAGATATAACACTGTACACACCCTCGATTGTATGGCCGGCATTCGCCATGCTCCTTGTCCCATCCACAATAGGGGTCCTGTGTGCATCGCAGGCATGTTCTATATCGCCTCTTACACATTACTAAATCAAATTGTCGAATCGTTGACTTTGAAGCCACGTAGATTGACTTATGCTGAAAAAGAAGACATTATAGTAACGTTTCTCATTTTGTTTACAGTACCTCAGATTAATAGAATTTCACCAATACACACTTGTAAGTTACGCCAAATAATAGTTGTTGTTTTTTTTCAAGAATTACTACAGTTAATTTTTTGTTTAACAGAACAAAAAATGCTTGTTACTCTCACCATTACTTCTTGCTATTTTCGTAATACAGAGGGTTAAGTAAATTTTATTTCAATGATGTCTTTATGTAAATGCAATGATATGATACAAGTCGCAGTCCCATGGGCAGCACATTTAGTGTTTATACATTTGGTTTCGACCATCTGATACCACCACAAGTAAGTTAATAAATATATTTGATTTCTGCGAGAATTATTAACTACTTAACAGTGTATTACCACCACAAGTAAATACATGTTTGATTTCTGGGAAATTAACAACTGTTTGACAGTGCAATACCACTACATTACACTTACGACTTTTAAAGTTTTAAGACTTTCTGAAAAGATATTTCTATAGTGAATATATTAAACAATATACAGCCAAAGCACAGCTTTCTAAGAAGAAAAAATTCAAATAATCAGTGTTCTTCATTGAAGTGAAAATAATTTTATGGCAGAAAATTTAAAACAGCAACAGGCTCTGAACCCCATCCAGAATGAAAGTTATGACTGTGAAAGAGAATCCTCCGACCCAAAAATGTTATTGTGATGAAACTTGAAATATCTCCTGATACTAATGCAACAATTACAAACATTTAAAATTGTTAAAGGTCACAAGCTTGTGGTCACTCCTTGAAATCAAAGACCATTTTCATGAAAGTGATATCACCACAATCCCATTTGATCATATACTTGTTAATCGCCCCAGTGCACATAGTCTTGGAAGTAGCATCAAGGTATAGTGGATGACATGAAAGATTTCTCCAGAATGTGGTCTGAGATTTACCTTACTATCCTTCACAAATTTGTTATAATATAAATTACAATGTTGGTCAATAGTGCATCATCTTGGCCATCAAGCTGAGTGTAACCAATGACAGTGTAGGACGTGGAACATTATTATAATGTGTAATTAACTTCGTGAGAACTTACTTTGCTAGAGATTTCCATGTTTCGCACAGGTTCAGGTGTGGTGGCTTCAAACACGTCTACAAGGTTAGAGTGTGCTTCTCCTGTCCCATCATACCACTCCACTGTCTTGAAGACCTGTCCTCTTACTGAAAAGAAAATAACAGCAACAAAACATGTTTGAAAATCAGCTATTTCCTTTATTAAGAATAATTAGTATTTTCCTTCATTAAAACAAACTGTTTCAGGGTTAAAGATCAAGTTATCCAATACTTATTCCCATGACAGTGACAGTTCTAGCCATAAGAAGGAATTTTTTGGACACACACACACTAAAACTCTTGTTGAAAAGTCATTTCCATTCACATACTAACACAACTGTATCTTTCTAAAATCTTGTATACCATGTGTACACTGCATTTAGCAACCAATCAGCATTCAACTACCACACGTGCCTGACGGAGAAGTGTCTTGCTGTTACAACTTTTAAAAGTCCATCCATTACTGAGTGGTGTTTTTTTATTGCTTTCATTGACAGCACATATTGAAACGAGTATAATACTAAAACAGGCAAAAGTCAAAGTTCTGATGAAAAAAAATTTCCTTACGATTTAGAGGCACCTTGAACTACTTGGGGTTCTAAGCAGTTGCTAAATTTGATTAGGCATGGCACCATTACTGTCTCACAATGGGACTGGAAGTTTTCCATGCCCTCTAAAGGAACCAGAATATATGTGGGGACGTACCAACCGTGTTCCACCATGACTATTCAGATTCCTGCCCTTACAGCTGTTTGAAACGTGTACCATTGACACATTGTCATGTTCTTGTGAGGTTAATAACATTTCAACCAATTATTGTACCAATAGAAAAAAAGAGGCAACATTTAGAAATATCATGGCAGTGCATGACGTCACTATGTACAAGGTTTAAAATGTTTAGTAGTTATTAGCTATCAAAGAGTTTTATTATGATATGTTATTACTTGGAATCACCTTTCAGTTTTCTTTCATGAAATAACATACTGAATAATCTGACATACCACTGCCTGCATAATAAACAATGTAGGAAACCCCATCAACCTCCATTTTATCTACAACCAAATGGGTTAAGATTACATCCCGTTTGTAAAACACAGGTTTGCCATTTTCCTGGGTAATGGCAGAGTCCATAAGAGGATGTCCACGAATAAAGTTGAGCACAGAATCAGGTAAAGTCTGGGTATTGTTAACGCACTGCCCGGGTCGAGGCTCTGGAACCTTTACGCTGATTACAGGCAGCCACGCCGAAGAGGAAGTGACCTGTTCCTTGAACTTTCCATTAAAGACTTCCTGGATGGACTCCAGACTGAAGCTACAGATCGCTGATCCCATTAGTCCATTCCTGAAATAATAATTTTAATATAGACTATGTAAGGATTTTATTGTTTCAGTACCCACTTAAGTTAAAAGATCGTACATGAATCATTTAAACTGAAATGGCTAATGATTTTTATTTAAATATATTACATCTGTTACAAAAGGATGTTTGAAACATTCCAATTAACAACCGTAACACATTTGAACAGCATCTGGTAAGTTTAGTAATAAATTATTCCTGTTTGGGGGTTCAAAATCATAAAGAAATTTGCAGGTTTATTTGAAGATGTGGTCCAATTCACTAGTTTTTTTCACCAAAACTGTCTCCTCATCGTGCAGCACATGTGATTTTTGTGGAAAAACTCAATAAATACAAACTTACAATTTTCACAGATGTTTGATAGGGCCTTTGTCACATCTTGCAAGTATCTGTTTTGTGAAAATATTTAATGACCAGCAAGTCATAGAAAGTGATTGAAGAAAACAATTTTATCACAACACAGAGATAAGGTTTGTACTGACTAATGTAATAAAGTGGTTATGAGGGTGAAACTTATATCTCAATTTTAGTGACTTAAAAACGTGACTACAGAGGTAACTTGAGATATATATATCAAGTAAATTTAATTACTTAAAATCCTTGCTAGAGAGAGAGAACCAAGTAAGTTTAATAGCTATAACGAATTAATGCTAATCAAGTTTTCTTAAAAGTGAAAAGATTGGAAGCAAAAAGGAACAAAGTTAGTCCAAAAATTATATAAGAAAAATTTATAAAAGATTCTTAACACGTTATGGTACCACTAACATACCTTTCGCCATCTCTGAACATTACGCTTGTTCTTTATATACTTAGAACACATTATAAACATTACTATATTAAAAGATCATAATAAGGTTAGTTTAAACTGATCTAAAAAAATATCATCCAAAAGCTATCCAAGTTATTCAGTCAATCCCACAATACAAACACTCAGGAAATGAAAAGTAATCTTTAATATAAAAATATGAAAATTGTAACTACCATGTAATGTGTCAATACGTAAACATTTCGAACCTTCTACTGCTGAGAAAAAATCACTGCTAAGTTCCTGTGTTCTGAGACACTTTGAGAAAAAGTGATTTTACTGGAAAATCTGGGGCAAAACAATAACTTAGAAATCCAAAACCTGAAATGATATAAACATACGTTCTGCTTACGCTGCCAGGTACTCATGGCCAGTTTATATTTCTCAAACTCTCGACACCAGTATGAGTAGATCTGTTTATATTCCATTTCCGTGGGAGGGTTACACGTTCCTGAAATTCAACGATATTTTACAAGATTATCGCAAAACTGCAAGAGAAAATATTCATTCATGTTTTTCCTGTTAAATAATTACTACTGGTATGAAAAACATTAGCTAACATGGTAGAAAACAATTATTATTAAGTGAAAAACCGAAGAAAACTACATCTGTATACGTTTCATGGCCAGTATATTCGATTAGTTTAAGTTCAAATAAATGAGATGGCAGTATCCAAAGGTAAAGAATTATTTGATTGTTGTAATAACACTAATAACGATAAATGTGAGCGACAACTTACTCGAATCCACTGTAACATCATAACTGCACAGAGTGTGTGGTCCGACTTTACACTCGTAACGTCCATTATCTTTATGGGTCACGGACAGGACAACCAGTCCGTAGTCCGAGGTGACGACGTATTTGTCCTGCTGGTGGTGCATTATGACCTTCCCTTTGTCTTGACTGTAGTGCACCCACTGTATAGTAGCAAGCTCTAATGTCTTCATCTCCTCTATGTGTACTGCACATGAAAGATGCAAGCTCTGGCCCCAGTAGACTTTAAGTACCTTTTTCTTTTCACCTTCATATTAAATGAAATAGCAATATTTTGTTTATCGAAGTAAACGGCTTCTTTTCAGTTACGGGTTACGTAGTTTTAGGTGGCTTGCTTTTTTTTTTATGACAAGGAAGCTACTTTTAGAAAATAAAGTTTGGAGACGGCTTGAATTGGTAATGAAAGAAGTTTTATTAAAAGTAACAAATGTACAAAGTTTCAACAAGCTTTTGTCATCTTAAAGTACGGGTGGTTTACATAGACACAGGAATATATATATAAAGTATGGGACAGAGAGGTCACATCAACAAAGATTGCTTATGTGACCTTTTCGTTCCATACCAGGGGTGAAATTCTCAAAAACAAAGTAGAGGTACTCAGCTGGGTAAAGTGGACCTGTTTTTGAAAAAGGAAAAGAAAAGAAAAAATCTATGCATAAATAATCATAACAACGACAAAGCAGTTTCAATAAGTCCCGGTACTAGTACCGCCTTAAAAAATAAGTTCTGGTACCCAGTAGCAGCAGAATTTTACCTCTGTTCCATAAAATATATATATATATATTCCTGTGTTTATGTAAACTACTTGTATCTGATGACAATACAAGATTATCAAATTTTGTACATTTATTACTTGTGATAAAGTTTCTTTCAAGCCACCTTATAGCCTGTTCCAGTTCCATTAAGATCTAGTGGGTAGAGGTTGGCCCTGTGGTAGAGGTTGGGACTTCAGAACAGCTGAAATCCTTGCTAAATTATAAAATATTTCCTGATCTTTAAACTCTAGGTGCATACATTAGAAGAATGACAGTCAGTTATTTAGCATGGATGGCAGAATGATGCTGACTGACTGTCAATTACTTAGAATGATGCAGACTGGCTGCCTTCTCTGGCTGTCACTAGTTCAAAACGACAGGAGATACATAAATACAGATGAGTCTCGAGTTCTTAATGTAAAAGTGTCTATAGAGTGTCTAAAAATATAGAACCAAACATTTCAGTTCTCATTAATTCTAATAATTATATAATCAAGGTCTAACATTATCATTTTATGAAGTTATTTCTAAGATTATTAAAAAATAAGAAGTTATTCTACTAAAGGAACCTTATGAACACAATGTTTAGATAAGGCACATTTAAAGCAAAG